GTCTGTCCTCAAGGACGTCCGTGCTAAGAGCACACTCACCCCCGACAGACGGAGGACAGACAGACTCAGACTCAGCAACAAGACTGGCAGCGTAGTCTAAACGACAGCGAGCAGCAAAGTCGACAAGCTTAGCAACTAGGGCCGACACAGAAGCAGACTCAAACGAAGGGTCAGTGACAGTAGTGGCCAGGAGGCGCGTGACAGTAGGACTGGCAGCATGAAGAGAGTCAGACTCCGGGTCAGCAAGAGCAGGAAGAGAGGACTCAGGAGGAGACAAAAGAGGGACACGCTGTGGAGCAGTGGAGGGACGTAGTGACATCCGGTGTGTGCCAGGGACTGGTGGCGGACGCTCACGCGGAGAACGGTGACTGGTGGAAGTAGCACGAACAGGTGACTCAGGACCGGACACAGGCGACACAGGACGAGACTCAGGCTCACGACGCTCTGTGAGACCGCCTGTAGGACCAGTGTAGGGAGAAGGACGTAGAAGTGGCGAGGCAGGCTGTAGCTGTGACTGCGACTGGACCGGAGGTGGACACTCTACAGAGGGAGAGGGACGAGGCGACTGACCAAGAACCTGCTGAAGGAGTGGAACGAAGTACGGCCGCGGCCGCGAGGTGCCCCCTGCAGGAGCAGAGACAGCACCAGAACCTCCAGCAGCTCCAGCAGCACCCCCAGCACCTCCAACACCCGGGTCTGCAGCACCAGCAGCAGCTCCAACGCCCGGGTCCGAAGCACCAGTAGCAGCCCCAACCCCAGGGTCCGCAGCACCAGCAGCAGCTCCAACGCCCGGGTCTGCAGCACCAGCAGCAGCTCCAACGCCCGGTTCTGCAGCACCAGCAGCAGCTCCAACTCCTGGGTCCGCAGCACCAGCACCAGGGTCCGCGACACTAGGAGCGCCACTCCTGAGACTGCAGCGCCTTGCGTACCACTCACGAAGACGCTGGGGAGAGGGCAGCTCCCGCCTAGGAGAAGAAGCACGAGCACCAGCTCCAGTAGCACTCCTAGCTCCAAAAGCACCTCTCTTGAGGCTGCAGTACTGAAAGTACCACTCACGCAGCTGCTGTGAGGAGAGAGCTCCTCCAGGCGTCGCACTCCCAGGCTCAGCACCCCCAGACTCAGCACCCCCAGACTCAGCACAAGCAGGCTCGGTACCCCCAGGCTCAGCACTCCCAGGCTCAGTACCTCCAGACTCCGCACCCCCAGTCTCCGCAACCCCAGGCTCCGCACTCTCAGGCTCAGCACCCCGAGCAGGACGAGAGTCGACAGCTACCTCGATAGGCTCAACCGGGTCTACGTGGGACACACCTGAGGGAGCGGCACCCTGAGGAGGGAGGGGGTCTACCACAGCAGCACCTGGCGCGAGGAAGAGAGGCGGGGGAGGGAGCGGGGCAGTGCGGTAGGGGAAGAGGCGGTAGAAGGGTACCGACTCGTCAAAGGTGACGTCCTGAGAGGCGAGGACACGGCGCGAGGTGGGCGGTAAAACTGCCAACCAGACGCGTCCAGAACAAAGCCTAGGAAGACACACGGATCAGCGCGGGAGGAGAGCTTGTCCGCGGACGTATCGCGAACAAAAGCTCGAGATCCCCAGACCCAAAAACGCGACGCATCGCCAACCTCTCCCGTCCAACGCAGTGTCGGGGAGGTCTCCGGCAAGGAGACACGGGGCTAGAGGTTGAGCTGATGCGCAGCGTATTGGACCGCAAACGGCCACAGAAAGTGGGGGGCAGCCGAATGGATCAAGGAGGTACGAGCGACCTCCATGACCAAGCCAATGCGGCGCTCAGCAACCCCATTCTACTGTGGAGAGGTCGGAAGCGTGAACGAGTGGCGGATGCCGTGCTCCGCACAGTAGGCTGCCAAGAGGTCGGAGGAAAACTCACCACCTCTGTCAGAGTGCAAGCGCAGGACAGGAAAGTCCGAGTGGAAACGCTCGCTGAGCTGAAGACGAGAAGCGCGGATCCAAGGGATCAAAACATCAGGGACCTCACCCTTGGTGCGCAAGGGGAAGACCGTGGTGTAGCGCGAGTAGTCGTCAACAACTATCAGGAAGTACCTCTCCTGACCCTGACCACGGACGCGGGCGGGGCCCCACACGTCCATGTGGAGCGTCTGAAAGGGAGCAGTCGTCGGGGGAAGCGAGGAGGAGTGAGGAGCAGCGCGCTGCCGCCCCTCGACACAGGGAAGGCAGGAAGGAGCAGGCGAGGGTGGGAGGGGAGGGAGAACTCTGGGAAGACCAGAGACAAGGTACCGTTTGTGCATTGCCCGAAGGCGCTGCACGGACGGGTGACCAAGTCGGTGGTGCCAGAGGACGGTCTTGTGCGCCAGAGAGCGGCACGAGCAGGGGGCCGACAGCTGACTTGACGCAGACGCAGACTCAGCTACCTGAGGGGACTCAGTAGTCAGTGTGTACAGGTCCGACCCCGGCTGCCGAGTGAAGGTCGCCAGGTGACGGCCCGTCCGAGCACACGTGCAGTGTGTCACGCGCTCGTAGGCAGGGGTGAACTGGTGGACACCCCTGTCCTGGAGCGCACTACCCACCACCAAGTTTGTAGAGAACAAGGGGAGGTAGAGACCGGACAGTGTGCTTGACGGGACGGCCGGATTGGGGAGGACAGTGGAGGAGGTCGCAAGGACTGGACCCCCAGAGGGGTCAGCGAGAGAGACAGCAACGGGCCGAGCAAGCTGCTCAAGAGCCGTGCGGTCACAAAAGAAACAGCGAGAGGCACATGAGTCTAGTGTAAAGGTGTGCAGTGCCGCAGTCGACTCAGTACCAGGGGGGGCAGACGCACCAGCACCTAGAGCAGCAGCCTCACCAGCACCTGGGGTAGCAGACACTCTAGCACCTAGAGCGGCAGCCTCACCGGGTCGAATGCCCGGGTCGGGCGGAACACGCAGGTACTGGGCACCCTCTCCATAAATAGACATCACATATATGGCAGAGAGAATAGCATCAAAGTCTAGAGCAAAGATATCAATGTTTTGCTTCATCAGATCAGCCCAGCGGGGCAGCTCAGTGGCGCCAAGGAACTGAGTACGCAAAGCGTCGTCGAGGCGTGAGAAGCAGCGCTGCGTGGGGGGCGCCCTCCCACACGTTTGACCAGTGCGGTCACCAGTGCGGATGACGTACGTGCAGCTAAGGCCACCCCCCCCCCCCCCCCCCCCCCCGTGCTGAGCGTACCACTCACGGAGCTCCTGGGGCGACGGAGAGTGCTGCAGGCTCCGGCCACCGCCAGTGCCTCCACAACTACCACCGCCACCGCCACCTCCTCGACCACCTCCTCCCCTACCGCCGCCGCACCCACCGCCGCCCCCACCACCGCCCCCGCCCCTGCCACCTCCCCCGCCGCTGCCGCCACCACCCCCACCGCCGCCACCACCCCCACCGCCGCCACCACCCCCACCACCGCCTCCCCCGCCGTCACCTCCGCCTCCCTTGCCCCCTTTGCCCTTGCCGCTGCGGCGCCCGCTCGAAGTAGACGCAGCCCCGACCTTCTCAGAACCAAGGAGGTTGACAGCAGAAGCAGAGGCTACAGAGGGAAGAAGGGGGGAAGGGGAACACCCCTCAAAGAAAGGGGTGCGGGGGTCGCCACGAGAGGCACCTACAGCGACTATGCTAGCCTCAGCTGCAAGCAGTTCCTTCTCGAGGAGGGCAATGGTGAGCTCAGTGGGGCAGCGAGCTAGGAAGTGATCCCTGACAGCACGCAGAGTGTCAGGGAGGCGGGTGACTAGGTGGTAGATGTCATAACATTATAGCTTATACATTTGTGTAGGCTGTAGTGGGGTAGCCCATAAGGGGTACAACCCAATAAGGGTTAGTACTTGTACCCAACTGTTTCATAGTACATTCATTCCATTCTCACTTCTCCTCATGGTATCGAGCAGGTTCCCGAGTGGGAATACTGCCTAGGGCCCACCACGAACTTTTTTTTTCCTTCCCTGCCCGGAGCGCGCTTAGCTCCTAACCCGAGTAGCGCCTCAAGCCGCCTTAGTGGCCCCTATGGGCCGCCCTTACTGCCCCTCGAGTCGCCCTCTACGGCCTCGCTTAGGCCCCGCTACGGCCCCGCTACGGCCCCGTCGGCCCAGTCGGCCCCACTACGGCCCCGCTACGGCCCCGTCGGCCCCGCTACGGCCCCGCTTAGGCCCCGCTACGGCCCCGTCGGCCCCACTACGGCCCCGCTTAGGCCCCGTCGGCCCCGCTACGGCCCCGCTTAGGCCCCGCTACGGCCCCGCTACGGCCCCGCTACGGCCCCGCTACGGCCCCGCTACGGCCCCGCTACGGCCCCGTCGGCCCCACTACAGCCCCGCTTAGGCCCCGTCGGCCCCGCTACGGCCCCGCTTAGGCCCCACTACGGCCTCGCTACGGCCCCGCTACGGCCCCGTCGGCCCCGCTTAGGCCCCGCTTAGGCCCCGCTACGGCCCCGCTACGGCCCCGTCGGCCCCGCTTAGGCCCCACTACGGCCCCGCTACGGCCCCGTCGGCCCCGTCGGCCCCATTACGGCCCCGCTACGGCCCCGCTACGGCCCCGCTTAGGCCCCGCTGCGGCCCCGCTACGGCCCCACTTCGGCCCCGTCGGCCCCTCTACGGCCCCACTTAGGCCCCACTTCGGCCCCGTCGCCACCGCGGCCCCGCCCACCCTTGCGGCCCGCCGCCACCTACGACCTCGCCACCACCTGCGACCCCGCCTCCCAGCGCCCGCAACGCCAAGCAGCCGAACCGCCGGCCACCTGAGCCGCCCGACCTCCCCAGCCGCCCAGCAGTCGAGCCGCCTGACAGCCGAGCCGCCCAGCACCGTGCAGCCGAGCCGCCCAGCAGCCGAGCCGCCCGACAGCCGAGCCGCCCAGCACCAGCAGCCGAGCCGCCCAGCAGCCGAGCCGCCCAGCAGCCGAGCCGCCCTGCAGCCGAGTCGCCCGACAGCCGAGCCGCCGAGCAGCCCGATCGCTCCACCTACCTGGTAAGAGCACAATCTTTGCCACTGCACTGCCCTGCCTTTTGCTGTTATGGCTTCCCCTAGCGTTCTCACCTTTGACGCTGAGGGTCGGGCAGTGGACTTTGAGGTCTGGGTAGATTATCTGCAGCTTTTCCTGCAGTGCGATAGGGCAGACGGTCTCTCCCTGTTTGACCTCACTTCTGGTGCCTCCCCTGCCCCTGCTGCTGATGCTGACGCCACTGTTCGCTCACAGTGGGCCACACGTGACGCTGCTGCTCGCCTTGCTGTGCACCGCCACTTACCGACCACTGAGCGTGCACACTTTAGCCAGTACAAGAGTGTTCAGACCTTGTACGACGCTGTAGTTGCACGCTACTCTTCCCCTGCCACTGCTGCACTGAGCCGCCTTATGCTACCGTACCTCTTCCCTGACCTTGCTGCCTTTCCCACAGTCGCTGACCTCATTACGCACCTCCGCACTAGTGACACTCGCTACCGCGCTGCGCTTCCTGCTGAGTTCTGCGCCAAGACCCCCCCCCCCCCCATGTACATCACCCTCTACTACATAGTCACCCGTCTCCCTGACTCTCTCCGTGTAGTCAGGGACCACTTCCTCTCTGTTTGCCCCACCACTCTCACCGTTGACCTCCTCGAGAAGGCCCTCCTAGCGATAGAGAAGAGCATAGTCGCTGTAGGAGCCTCTCGTGGTGACCCTCGCACCCCCGTCTTTGAGGGGTGTTCTCCCTCCCCCCTCTTGCCCTCTGTTGCCTCCGCTGGTGCGGCCAACCTTGTTGGTTTCGAGTCGGTCGGCGCTGCGTCTGCCCCGAGCGGGAGACGCCGCACCGGCAAGGGCAAGGGGGGCAAGGGCACTGGAGGAGGTGGAGGGGGCGGTGGAGGTGGTGGTGGAGGCGGTGGAGGGAGTGGGGGTGGTGGTGGGAGTGGTGCTGGGGGTGGCGGCGGCGGCGGCACCAGTGGAGGCGGCGGAGGCGGTGGAGGTGGCGGAGGGAGCAGAGGCGGCGGAGGTAGTGGAGGAGGCGGAGGTGGAGGAGACGGCGGAGGCGGCGGAGGCGGCGGCGGCGGCGGAGGCGGCGGTGGTGGAGCGAGCCGCGACTCTGCGTCGAGGAGTGGCGCCGGTGGTGGTCAGCGCCAGCAGCAGCAGCGGAGTGGCGTGACCCTGTCCCCTCAGCAGCTTCGTGAGTGGTACACTGCACGCCATCGCGGTGGGGGTTTTGGTCCCTGCTCTTACGTTCTCCGTACCGGCAACCGCACTGGTGAGCAGTGCGGGGGTCCGCACTCCACCCAGCGCTGCTTTGGTCGCCTGACGGACGTGTGGCGTCGCCAGTTCCCTGAGGCCTCAGAGATCCCTCGCTGGGGAGATCTGGCTAAGGCCGGGGTTGCTATCTTTGATCTTGACTTTGATGCTATTCTTGCTGCCATGTATGCTGTTGCTGATAGTGTTGAGGGTGCCTGTTACCTGTGTGTACCGCCTAACCCGGGCATTGAGGCTGCTGCGCTAGGTGCAGGTGAGACTGCTGCTCTAGGTGCTAGTGCGTCTGCTGACCCAGGTGCCAGTGCGTCTGCCGCCCCCGGTGCTGGTGAGTCTGCTCTCTCAGGTACTACGTCGGCTCAGGCCTTCCACACCTTCACCCTGGACTCGGGTGCGTCCCGCTCCTTCTTTCGAGACCGCACCACTCTTACGCCGCTCAGTCGGCCGGTTGCAGTCTCCCTAGCAGACCCCTCTGGGGGTCCTGTCCTTGCTAGCTTCTCCACTGTCCTTCCGTGCCCTGCAGCCCCCTCTGGCACCATGTCTGGTCTCTACCTCCCCTCGTTCTCTACGAACTTGGTGAGTAGAGCGGACCTACAGGATCGAGGGGTTGACCAGTTCACTCCTGCGAGTCAGCGAGTGACCCACTGCACGTGTGCTCGGACAGGCCGACACTTGGTCACGTTCACCCGTCGGCCAGGGTCGAGCCTGTACACCCTTACTGCTGAGTCTCCTCCTTCTGCTGAGTCTGCCTAGGTAGCTGCGTCGAGTCAGGTGTCTGCTGCGGCGTCTAGGTCTGGTCGTGAGTCTGCCCCCTGCTCGTGTCGTCTGCTGTCCCACCAGACTCTCCTTTGGCACCACCGCCTTGGTCACCCCTCCTTGCCTCGTCTCTGAGGCATGGCCTCCCGTGTCCTTGTCTCTGGTCTTCCTCGGTCTCTCCCTCCCCTTCCTCCGGGGCCTGGCCCTACCTGCGTCCCCTGCGTTGAGGGGCGACAGTGCCGCGCCCCTCACTCCTCCGAGTTTCCTCCGACAGAGGCTCCGCTGCAGACTCTACACATGGACGTCTGGGGCCAAAGGCCATGTGCAGACTCTGCAGGCTCCGCCTCGTTCTCCTCCAGTTTTGTACGTAGACAACAAGGCCATGGTGGCCTTGTGTTGGGAGCACAGACTGGAGCACAGAACGAAGCTCATTGCTCTCCGCTACTTCCTGGCTCGTGAGCTGCAGCAGCGTGGTCAGCTCCGCCTCACCTACGTGGCCTCTGAGGCCAACACTGCTGATATCTTCACCAAGGCCCTTCCGCCTTGTGATCATCAGCGCTTCTGTACTGTGCTAGGTCTTATGCCTACCTGGCCTCACTTGCTTACTTCTTGATCTTGTTTGTACTGTCTTCTTTCTATACCTGCCCTTGCTTGTTTTACCTTTATATATATGACCTTGCATGTGAACTGGCCTTGTGGCCTTACTCTTGTGCTTGGATTGTGTGGTGACTTTGTGATCCACCCTGAGCTTGCTTTGCTTTGCTTGACTGGTCTTGTGACCACTTGTTCTCCCCCACTTTGCCTATGGGGGTGTGTCAGAACATTATAGCTTTTACATTTGTGTAGGCTGTAGTGGGGTAGCCCATAAGGGGTACAACCCAATTAGGGTTAGTACTTGTACCCAACTGTTTCATAGTGCATTTATTCCATTCTCACTTCTCGTCAGTAGAGAGTGAGCCAGAGCGGGGGAGGGTTCTTGGCAAGGAACTCGTCGGGCATGGCGGCATGGAAGCGGGCCTCACTAGTACGGAGGTGCGTGATGAGGTCAGCGACTGTGTGGAACGAGGCCAGGTCGGGAAACAGGTAGGGGAGTGAGAGACGGCCTAGCGCGGCAGAGGGAGGTGAGGAGTAGCGGGCAACGACAGCGGTGTACAGTGCCTGTGCAGTCTTGTGCTGGCCAAAGTGCTCGCGCTTATCTATCGGCAGGGAGTTGCGAATAGCGAAGCGAGCGTGGGCGTCACGAGTCTGCCACTGTGAGCGGGCTGTGCTGTCAGCAGTAGCAGTAGGAGCAGTAGCATGGCCTAGGGCGTGATCGTACAGTGAGATGTCCTCCTTGGCAGTGAGCTGTAGGAAGAGGTGTAGGTCATCTAGCCAGGTTTCGAACTTCACTGGGCGGCCCTCAGCATCGAAAGCTAGCACAGGAGGGCTAGCCATAGCAGTAGTAGGAGAAGCAGTGAGGTAGCAGTGGTAGTAGTAGGTGCACCCTCAAACAGTAGGCAGTGCGACACAGGTAGGGCGGCTCGGTCCAGTACGGGCGGCGCGGCTCGGTTCAGGTAGGGCGGCTCGGCTCGGGTAGGGCGGCTCGGCACGGTTCAGGCTGGGCGGCTCGGTTCGGGCTGGGCGGCTCGGTTCGGGCTGCTCGGTTCGGTCGGCTCGTTCTGGCGGGGCCGTGGGTGTCGCATCGCGGTGCTAAGGGGCGGCGCGTGGGTCGAGGGGGGGCCGACGGGGCCGCTAAGGGGTGGGCGCGCGGGGCAAACGGGGCCGACGGGGCCTCTAAGGGGTTCGCGCGCGGGGTCGACGGGGCCAGCGGGGGCCGCTAAGGGGGGCGGCACGCGGAGTCGTCGGGGCCAGCGGGGCCGCTAAGGGGCGGCACGTGGGGTCGACGGGGCCGACGGGGCCGCTAAGGGGTGGGCGCGCTCGGGGCCTAGGGGGGCGACGGGGCCTCTAAGCGGGGCCAGTGGGGCCTCTAAGGGGCGGCGCGCGGGTCGCTAAGAGGGGCGGGTCGCGGGGCCTTAGGGGGCCGTGAAAACGAGGTGCACGAGGGCGCTAGGGGGGAGGCGCTCGAGGGCGCTCCGACAGTGGGGGGCACGAGGGCGCTAGTAAGCAGCAGTAGTGGTGGGCCCTAAGAATCGGTCCTAGCGGTGGACCTGCTCTGATTCCATGTTACGAAGAAGAAGTGATTGCACTATGAAAGTTGGACTACAAGTAGGAAACCCTAACTTTGTGTACACCCTAAAGGCTAACCCACTATAGCCTACACAATAATAACACATATAGTGTTTGACACTCCTCTCATAGTCCCCCCTCCTCCACACTTGCCCTTGGTGATAGCCTCTAGCTTTGCTTACATTTGTGAACTTTAAACCGTTGCTTCTTGTACTTGTGCTCAGATTGTGTGGTGACATTGTGATCCACCCTGAGCTTGTTGTGCTGATTACACCCCACTTTGGCTATGGGGGTGTGTCAGAATGTTATGTTTGTCTAGCCTGCAGTGGGGTACTCAATAGTGAGTACAGCCCAATTTAGGGTTTGCTATATGTACTCAACTGCTTGCTAGTGAACCTCCTTCTCTCTTCTTAATTCCTCATTCTTCAGAACAGTGCCCAGAGAATTCCAGCAAGTTCGCGAAGCGTGCTTGAGGTGGCCAACAGCGCACGGGGAAACGGGGAGGAGCTTGAGCCGGCTCGGCCATCCGGCGTGGAATAGCAGCTTCCCCAAGCATGGTCGCTGGAATCCACGTACATGACAACGTCATATATGTGCTGATTATGGAAGCATGAGCCGTTGAAGGCATCGAACTGAGTCAGCCAGAATCGCAGCTCGTCTATCGATTCCGGTGACAACTTGATGGATTCCCCCCAAGACCGACATGCATTGATTTGAGAGAGCAGGTGATGGGAGAAGGCGCGTGCGACAGTACCGAGCGCCAAAGCCATAGAAGCTAGCATGCCAGTTATCCTGACCGCGCGACGAACCGGGATACGATGCCCATGCATACTCGTCCGGCGTATGTCTTCTAGCTCGTCAAACAAGCGGTCCCGGCGAGAAGCGTCGGCTGAGAAAATTGTTGTGTGAGTATCCAATATAAGGCCAAGAAATTTAAGCCGTTGTGATGGCTCGAGCTGTGACTTTTCCATATTCACGATAAAACCGGTAGAACGAAGGTCCTCTAGGATAATGGCTCGAGTGCGGAGTGTCTCTGACCGCGTCGCACAGATGAATAAGAGATCGTCGACGTAAGGAATTAGTCGAATGCCTCTGCTGCGCCAGCGCTTGGCAAGTTGCTTAATCAACAGTGTAAAGACGAACGGCGCTGTGGCGAGCGAGCCCGAATGGCAATGAAAAAAATTGGTATCGTTGGCCTTGCAAGGAGAATCCGAGGAACCGCCAAAATGAGGGGTGGATATCCACGTGATGGTAGCCCGACTTAAGGTCTATTGTGAACAGCTATTTGCCCTGGCGCACTAGGTCGGGGACCCGATTGAGTCCTTCATATCGAAACCGAGGGATAGAAAGGAAGGAATTCACGTGGCGAAGGTCTAGTATGAGTCTCTTCTTTGAAGGTTAGACAACCACGTTGAGTGGGCTAATACATGTAAGCGGCGCATCACGAGGGACGATGCAAGCGGCGCCGGTGGTGAGTAGGCCGGATACTGCCTCTAGCGCAAATGTCGTATGTTGCAACGCACCCGCATGGTTCGAGGCGTGGTGGGGAGTAGGTTCGACTGACCGCCATGGTAGGCAATACCCCGACATAACGACTGACCGAATGAAAAGGCTCGAACACCAAGTGTTCCACCACGGGGTGCGGTCACGCAAACGTCCTCGCATGTGTTGCACGACTCCATGTGTGTCACTCAAGTTGGGCATGAAGCCAGATTCTGGCAGGGTATGGGAAGTAGTATGGACACGGTCGTATGAGGCGAGTGAGTGGATTATAATCTAAACTAATTATACCCTTCCATGCGGTGTAACAATACACCTTATATTATTGTCGTGACCATATATCATGCCCTGACGAAATGATGTGGACTCTCGCGCCCAATTGTACATAGTACCCTGATGGAGGCATTGTCCCACTATCTTTTATAGTTTCTCCCCTCCCTTTTTTTTTTTTTTTTTTGAAGGGCTAGTTGTTGTGTCTTCTTTCTTCTTTATTTATTTAGGGCACTCTTCTTTGTCTCTTGATAAAATGATCACCACATTTTGTTTTCACCAATAGTGTCCCCAAGAGCTTATATGAACGAAGCATTTATCACCAACGCTATCTTTCATAATAGGAATTACCACCCACAGGTTTTCAAGCAATCTTAGCGGGCTGATTAGCCCCTTGGCCGCGTTGCGGGCAATTGGCTATTCCGTGGCCGGGCTCGCGGCAATAAAAACAACGTCCATCGCCATCCCGACGCCAAGTCCAATTGCGTTCCCCTTGGCCTCGATTGCGAGGGGCGGGATTCGGGCGAGATGCGGCGGTGGGCCGATGCGGCCTTTTCTTGCTGGCCGCCACAATTTGAGAGGCCGCCTTGACGTTTTTGTCCTCCACTACCTCCCCATACATCTTTAAGGCCATGTTGGCCACCTCGAAACCGCGTTGATCCGCGGTGAATAAAAAATGAATCTTTTCTTCAGCCTCGTCAACTATCTGCTATAGGTAATCGGTAAGTTGCTCGCCACCGTGTGAAGGTACGATGGAAATAGCATGACGTGCAATAGCTTGAATGCGTTCGAAACTAAAGAGTTGAGTGCGAATGCCGTCACTTTTCACGAGAGAAGAACGCAACTGAGGGCGTGCAGGAGGAATGGGAGCCAGGATAGGGGGTGTTGTAGTGGGCTTGGGACGAACGGTATAACTGTTACAGGGCGAAGGCGAACTCGTCACAGGAAAGTTCGCTCACTAGCGAACTTGTAACTTTCGCCAAAACCCAATCTGAAATGTCAAATTCGAGGTTGGAAATCCCAACCTGAAATGTGCGCTTCGGGATTTCTCAAAGCACACG